CAGTCAAAACTAACAAAAGATCAACAATATATAAGTACAAATGACAAGTCTTGGTTAGCCTAACGCAGTACACGTAGCAAGGTGTATATATATATATATATATATATACACACACAGTATATACATACATACACTATACACACACATACACACAAAGACAAACAAGTAGATAGAATAGAAAAAATGGAATAGAAAATTAAAAATATATAATTTTTTTAAATAAAAAAAAGAAGATAAATGTAGATAAAGTAGAATTAAAATAGAATAGAAAGTGGTTATTATACATCTGAAATGGATGCAGCCACCACATAACTAATGACTGTATTGTCAAAAATGTACAGTAGTCAAAGGGATTTCAAATCAATTTATTAAATACAAAATAGAAAACATTCAGTTCAGCTTAATACAGTTACATATAGCCAAAAATGTAAATACTCAAAAGTACAAAAAAACAACAACAAAAAACCCCCCAAAAGAAAGCAAACAAAGCAATGTAAGACTGATAGAAGAAGTTGACTGATAGCAAATTAATAATCCAACCTCTCGTAATGAAAACACGCCACAGCTCTCAAACTCTAGACTCTTCCTAACCAGGAATAGTCAAAAAAAGTCCAGACTATGGTCCCACGTCGAAAAGAACTTACCCAACTGTGATTTTCTAATGATCCTTAAGACATTGATTAGCATGCTCAGGTGTGTTTGATTAAGGTTAAAAGTAAACTCTGCAGGAAAGTGTATCTCGTGAGCCAGATTTGAGGATCCCTGGCATATATGAAACAACAGATTCTGAAAAGGTCTCTTTTGGTTTGAGCAATTCCACTTCAATTGAGTGGCTAAAGAATGGCCAGTCAATGTTTGTATTCTCCTAGTTGCATTACAGGGCTGCCTACACAAAACCTGCATGGGCCCAAAGGATACAAAAGTTGCTCTGGGCCCGAACGGGCTGGCCCACACTGGGCCATCATAGGATTAATGTGGACAGTCCGCTAGTGTGGCCTGCTCACAGAAAGCCTGCGGTGAGCCCAAAGCTGTGGGCCTCACCTGGGCAAGCCCACACTGGGCCTGTTTAGGTTTGGTGTGGTCTGGCCCTAGCCCACTGTGCCCGCAAAAAGCCAGCATGGGCCCCGCAGGGATATGTTTGCAGGGTCCTCACCGACCTTCCTAAGAAGACCATTAGACAGCTGCAGCTCATCCAGAACACTGAGCACAACCAGAAACCATTGCTAGTTCCCTTGTTCATTACGTGTTCATAAATCACTCACTGAGTATAAACCTAACAGCCCTTATGAAAAAGAGTAGTAGTAGTATACTTAAAGTATGATGTAAAGTTCACTTAAAGAAAACTTGCAGTATTAAACTACTAAACTAGTAGTTTACTGAGACTATACTTCAAAGTGTACTAAAAAGGCTACAAGTATTTCATTAGTAAACTATCAGTATACCTATAAATTCACTTTAGTATAGTTGCAGTACTAACTAAAAACATAGATGTAAACTAGTTGTGTACTCAAAGTTTACTACTGTTATACTTAAAGTATACTTAAAAGTATACTTTTATATACTAGAAAGTGGGCCAATTTAGACCCAAGGAGTATTGAAATAGTACACTTACAAGTATACTACTAGTACACTGATTTTTGTATACTTACTACATAAAGATTATTTAAAAATATACTTGAACTTTACTTAAGTATACTTATAAAATAAACTTGGAGACCACTCAGATCATTGGGATCAAGTCAGTTAGAAACACCAAGGGTTCACTCAAAATAACGGGAGTCTGCTTTTAGCTATTATGCAACCCACAGTAGGAAGTAGCTCCAGATAAGATCAGATAAAACAGTAGCTACATTTAAACCCAGACTCAAAACACATCTGTTTAGCTGTGCATTTATTGAATGAGCACTGATCTAAGTCTAAATTGTTTTTATGTAAACGTGTGGTTCTGCGGCAACATGCATCTCTCTTTAGGTTGTCTGTCTGTATGGTGACAGAGGAAGGCTGTGGTTATTTGTCTTCAGCTCTGAATTCAAACCCTTCACACCTAAGAGAGCTGGATCTGAGTAACAATGACCTGAAGGACTCTGGTGTAAAGTTTATTTTCGATGGACTGAAGAGTCCAAACTGTCAACTGCAGATACTCAGGTATTAAGAACATATAAGAGATCATTTACAGTCAACTGGTCATAATTTTGAATCGTGTTTGTAGAAGTCAAGTCAAGTCAAGTCACCTTTATTTATATAGCGCTTTTATCAATACAGATTGTGTCAAAGCAACGGTACAGCATTAATTAGAAAAATTGTGTGTCAATAATGCAAAATGGCAATAGTAAACACTCATTTTTCAGTTAAAGGCAGTTCATCATTGAATTCAGTGATGTCATCATCCAGCTAAGTTCAGTTTAAATAGTATCTTTGCAATCACTTGCAATCAAGTCAACAATATCGCTGGAAATGAAGTGTCCCCAACTAAGCAAGCCAGAGGCGACAGCGGCAAGGAACCAAAACTCCATCGGTGACAGAATGGAGAAAAAAACTTGGGAGAAACCAGGCTCAGTCGGAGGGCCAGTTCAGAGGCGACAGCGGCAAGGAACCAAAACTCCATCGGTGACAGAATGGAGAAAAAACCTTGGGAGAAACCAGGCTCAGTCGGGGGGCCAGTTCTCCTCTGACCAGACAAAACCAGCAGTTCAATTTCAGGCTAGCAAAGTCACATTGTGCAGAGGAATCATCTGGTTCCTGTGGTCTTGTCCCGGTGGCCGTCTGAGACAAGGTCTTTACTGGGGATCTGTATCTGGGGCTCATCTAGTTGTCCTGGTCTCCGCTGTCTTTCAGGGCTGTAGAGGTCCTTTCTAGGTGCTGATCCACCATCTGGTCTGAATATGTACTGGATCCGGGTGACTGCAGTGACCATCTGATCTGGATACAGACTGGATCTGGTGGCAGCGGTGACCTCG